ATTAATCTAAAAATACTGGAAATAATTTATAATTGTAAAACGCTATTAATCGTAATGTAGGCTATAATTACAATTTTATGCCACTTGGCTTAAAAAACTATCAAATAAATTTATAAAAATATGCAAAAATCACCTTAATTATATTTTGGTTTAAATATGAGGATGGAAATAAATTATTCACCAAAACGATAATTTTGGGAATAATTATTGGATTTTGCATTGTTAAAATAGACAATAAATTGATTTTAAAAATTTTAAAATTTGGGAAAAAATACCAAAACTCTTGGGCACGCTTATATATGCATACACATGCTATTTTGAAGGTATTTTGGGTATAAAAATACATAGGGGAAAAATTGGGTATCAACAATTGGTGCCTTAGCCTTGGGCACTACCGGTTCCGGCATGTCAATTACATGTTCCCTAGATAGGTTCACCTCTTCTTGTGTCTCCTCTACACTTCCATCTATATCAATTCTCACTTCTTCATTAGCTTGAGCCATATTTCTTGGGATTTCATCCTCTTAAACCATAACATCTTCATCCACAATCCTTCTTTGAATTGAGGTGGTTGCATCTTCACCTTTTCCACTTCTAGTAGTCACGACCATAGCATGTACCGCGTCATTCCAACCCTTCGGGTTTATCACCGTATCACTAAGTAGTGCCTCCTTAGGACTAGTGTTCAAAGCTTGTGAGATTTGGCCTAATTGGACCTCCAAATTCTGAATAGAAGTGTTGTGCGAGGCTAATTGAGCATCAGAGTCGGCATTCTTCTCCATCATCTGTTTAAACATGTTTTCAATTCTACCCATCTCATTCGAAGAAGAGCTCGGGCCTTGAGAAGGATAGGGAGGTGGGTTGCTTGGTTGTTGGAACATCGGAGGCCTTTGAAAACCCGACCCCCAGTTGTTGTTGTTGTTCCACCCTCCTTGGTTATTTCCTCCCCAATTGCTTTGATTTTTGCCACCCCAATTGCCTTGATTAATCTAATTTCCTTGGTGGTTTTGGTTGTTCCAATTACCTTGGTTCCCCTATGACCTCCATTGTTGTTGATTTTGTCCTTGAGCATTGTTTCTTTGACCTTGATAATTTTTGACATATTGCACTTTTTTGTCTTGCTCATTGAATGAATCACCTTGATCATAACCACTATCATCTTGCATAAATTGTTCCAGACGGCTTTGCATTTGCTGACCTTGTTGTCGTCTTTTGTTTACCATCATATTCACACCTTCCATTGCATGCACTTTTTTCGGCCCTTGAACTTGTTGAAGCTGATCTTTGGACAATTGGTTCATGGTAGTTGTCAACTCGGCAATAGCTTGCACATGATTATGTAGCTCCTTGTGTAGGTGAATAACATTAGGGTCACCTTGCGGAACATTGGCTCTACTTTTCCATGCCGAAGAGGTATCCGCCATCTCATCAAGAATTTCAGAAGCTTCGACATATGGTGTGTTCATGAAGTTCCCCATGGCGAGTTGGTTAACCCACATTGATTAGTTGTGTTGATCCCCCTGTAGAAGGTTTGTTGGATCATGGCCTCAGTCATATCATTGTTCGGGCACTCTTTAACCATGGTACGATATCTTTCCTAAATTTCATGCAATGGCTCACTGGGTTCTTGCTTGAAAGAAAGAATCTCATCCCGAAGCGTCGCCATATGTCCCGGAGAAAAGAATTTGGAAATGAACTTTTCTGCCAAATCATCCCAAGTGTGGATGGAATGATTGGGCAACCTCTCTAACCAGTCCAATGCTTTCCCCCATAGAGAAAGGGAAAAAGCCTCAACCTCAGCGTGTCCTCAGACACATTTGTTTGCTTGCTTCCCCAACAAGTATCGACAAACCCCTTGAGATGCTTGTGGGCATTTTGATTCGGAGGCCCGGTGAAGAATCCCCGTTGCTCAAGTAGTGTAAGCATCACATTGGTGATTTGGAAGTTGCCCGCCCTAATGCTGGGCGGGACTATAGCACTTGCATAACCCGCAGCGGTGGGATACCACTCTTGGTGGAGGTGGGGGAGGGGCGGGCACATTCTCGTGAGGCGGACGGCCTCGTCTATTAGCTTGAGGTTCAAGAGGAAGCTTGATAAGTAGGGATTTTGACCGCTTATTTGCTCTCTTTTACTTGCATTTTAGCTCAAAAATGCTTAAAGTTATTCCCGAAAACTAACGAAATGTGCTTACTTGCAGGAATATTAGGAAAGAAGTCAAAATCAACTCATAAAGGAGTCTAAAGTGAACAAGAACCAAAACAGGGCAAAAGAGGTAGCAATGCGGACCACACAATTCTAGTGCGGCCGCAGAATGAAGATTCAGAGAGTGGTTTTTGGCCAACTCAGGGAGTGCGGACCGCACTGAAATTGTGCGGCCGCATCCATTATTATGCGGTCTGCAGGATTGAAGATTCAGAGAGCTGAAAAGTAAAGGAGTGCAGACCGCGGCAGTTTTGTGCGGCCGCATAATCCTAAGTGCGGCTGCACCCACTTTTATGCAGATCGCAGAAACCTGAAGTGCCAAGCCTAAATTCCCAAGACTGCGGACCGCAGCACTTTTGTGCGGCCGCAGGAGCCCAATGTGTGGACCGCACCAAAATTATGCGGCCGCACAACCTTCGCAGGAGGATTTTTGTTAGATATTTTCAGCTTGGTATAAATAGAGCTTTTTGTCATTTTAGGTTATGTTTAGTTTGCAGAGGTGCACCAGAGCGGTTTTCTTTACTTTTTTGAGTAATTTTGTACTAGTTTGACTTCTTAACATTAGATTTTCTTTGTTTAATCAATTATTATGCATTCTATCTTAATTTTTTCTTGTATTTCTATATTTTTCATGAGTAGCTAAATCTTTAGCTAAGGTTGTGGCTCAATCCTAGGGTGGGTGCTTAATGGGTATTTAATTTTAGGGCTTGTTTATGATTGGGTTAGTGATATTTAGCCTTGTTTATGCTTAAAATTCTAGAATTAATGGTTGCAAACATTGTTTTGTGCCTAATCGACCTAGTCTTTGCCTGAGAAAGAGAGACTAGGTTTAAGAAAACTTGGCTAACAAGGAATTGGGGTGAACTCAGGAAATTGATAGCCCCAATTAAAGGGTCAAATCTAGAGAGAGTGAGACCCAACTTGTGCTTTCGTGCAATACCCATTTGGGCTTGGGAAAGCCAAATTGGGCAAAATCACTCAAACTACCGAGAGGTATAAAGTGAGTAATTACGTGTGATTGCTATATTACGATCCAGATAAATCAAATTTGCCCTATATTTTACAACCCGTTAGGTAGCCACCTAGGTGGAAGTCCCAACCCTAGATCCTTTACCATCTGAAAAACACCCAAAACCAAAAACATTGTCTTCTAGTTTATTAATTGCAATCAGTAGCTAAAAGAAGAAATAGAAACAACCAATGAGTATGTGGAAGTGCAATCTAAGGCACACCATACATTTACTCTAGTTATATACCTAATCCAAATTCTAACTCTGTGTGTGATAGAATATATGGGTCCACCAACTTTTATAGAGAACCAGGTTCTGTATCAGGTTTGATAGTTACATACACACAGAGAACAGAAGTTAAATGACAGAAGGAATTTTATACGAAAAATTACCAGCTCAACGGGATTAAAAACCACGACCTAGCCTTGTAGGATTTAAACTTCACTACTGAGCAACTTTCAGATTACAACCTACGCAACCTAGGAATTAAACTCTTAATCCTTTATTAACTTGCAATACACATAATTACAAGCCACTTTGCAATAGCTCTATTACAAAGATATTGAAACTTGACTAACTCTAGCCAAGACTTAGACACGCAGGTTTAAGGTTTACAAAGATGTTCCTATAAAATTCTTCTAAATAAGCTGGATAGAAATTACAATTTGAAGAGCTATTACAAAGTTACAACTCAACTAAGGACACACAATAACTCGATGTGGGAACTGGTCCGTAGTTGCTTTGTTCTTTGTTCTTGAGGCACTTTAAACTTGCTCGCTAAATGGTCACGTGCGTGAGCTTGTGTAAGATTTCTAAGAGTTCAAGTGATTATGTTTTACCTCCTTTGAATGCATATATACATGTGTGACATCACTAGGAATGATGCAATCAAGGTAGGTAAGAAGTCTTCTCTAGAAAGTTGACAGCAGCACTGTTCTGCACAGTGGCGTGTGCAGGCAGCAACTTTCCAGCCGCAGAGTTGACTTCGTAAAGTCTCCTCGGGAACTGGTAGGGACCTGGTCGCTCAGTTGTTCCTTCCACTCTGAGGAGTTGAATCATATTCCACGTTGAGTCACAACCTGGAGTCTTGTTAACTTGAGGTCTTATGAATGTGTAACAGGTTCCTTATCTGGTTCTAGATAGTAAGTTTGTTAGATCATCAAAACATAAAATAAAGTACTTATAATGGAAGTACATGTAACCTATCAATTTCCCCCTTTTTGATCATGACAAACTCATAATTGAAAATCCTAGATTGAGCCACAAAAGAACCAGATTGTGAACCGGAAGAGCCTTAAGTTCCCCCTAAAACTATGCATTCACCCTTTGTCAGTGTCATCAAGATTGATATTCAATTAAGTTCTTCTCTTCACCCTTTCTTAGGTTCCCCCTGAAACATTCATCCATCCTTTGTGAGTACCTGAACATTCATCCACCCTTTGTCAGTACGTGAACTTTTGGTTTATTCAATAAAGTTCTTCTCTTCCCCCTTTTGGCATCATAAAAAGGACAGAGCAGGTTAGCAGCATAAAGAAGCCTAGCATAGTAAACTCATGCCACTTATGTGCTCACAACATGATAGGAGACAGAAGTAAAAGAGCAGCAACATAGATAGCAAAAGAGAAATTACTTGCATTAACCAGAATTGGACTATTACAGGCAAGAGCAGAGACATTGTTTTACATCTACAGTCTAAAACAAACAAAAACAAAAACTAGGAATAACAAAACATCACCAACAACAACTGAAAAACATAGACACTGGAAACTGACACTAAGGGCATATTCTTTAAGGGACACTAGAGGAAGGGGGCTTGGAAGAGGAAGCAAGAGTTTGGAGGACAAGATCCATGCGAGCGTTCGCGGATAGTTGCTCATTGAGTAGTCTTTCTTTCAGGTCCTCCACCTGTTTCCTTAGTTCGGCATTCTCCTTTGTTAGACGTGCGACCTCTGCGCTGTGAGAACCACTGGAACCAGGTACCTCTTGCAACTGACTGAGCTGATTCTCAAGAATCGTATTCCTAGCCTTTAACTTTCGGATCTCCTCTGTGGCACTATTCTGAGCATTTATCAGTTGAGAGATTGTGGAAGTGCTTCCAATTCCTCCGACTTTGTCAACACATTCACACTCCTCCAGAGTAGTTTTTGAAAAAGATTGCTTTTATGCCCACTTTGGCCTGACCAGAGGTACTTTGAAAAACTCAAAGACCTTTGTGAGAAGGAACCTATAGGGCATACCAGGATTCCTGTTTTTGAGGTTCTCTACCTTCTGCAAATGCTCAATCATTACGGCAGGCAAATTGATGGAGGAGAAATTGTCCAAAGTTTCCATAAGGAATAGGTCAGCTTTGGATGCAACGAACCTTCTTTCAGCGCAGGGAAGCAATACTTTGTTGACCATCTCAAAGAGCAGCTGATAAACTGGAAGGAGTGTCTTCTTATGCACCTGTTCCCCATGCTGTGCTGCCTTGTCCTTGACAATGGCATTTCTGAAGTTTGGTGTACAAGAACCCGAGCAGATGACACTCCTTCGGTAGGAACACCTAGAATTGACCCCAATAAAGTAGAGTCCAACACTATGTCCACCCCATTTACTAACACACAGATTTGATCACCATCGACTGTGAAGAGGCTGGTGTAAAAACTCCGCACCTCGTCCTCATACACTATAGGAGCCTCACTTGTAAACAAATTGGTCCATTGTTGAGCATCACACATAGCCACTAATTGTCTCATCCCAGCACTCTCTAGAATGTCAGAGGCAAATGTGCGGCCCCACAGCACTTTCTGATTCCCCAGCTTCCTTTTCTCAGACCTTAGAGTTTCACTCACTTTTCCTTTCTTTATGGAACTAGGTTTTGTATCATCATCATCATCATCATCCCTTTTTCTTTTCACTAACTCCCAACAGACTTGTGCTTTTCCACTGACTTGTTCTGTCTATGTTCACTAGATTTCTCCACTTCTTCCTCATCAGACTTGTCACCAGACTCCCTCACTGTCTTGTGACCTAAACTTTTGCCAACGTTTTAATTGAACCAGAAACATCACTCTTGGAAGAACTCTCAGCACCCTTAGAGGTGTGCTTTTCGGAAAGAGAGTGCTTCTTCCTTGAAGACTTTCGCGATAGGGAACTAGGTTCCTCTTTGGTTTCCTCATCCACATTCACTACAGGAACCTCCTCTGCTTGTACCACTTTTCCATCTTTGACCAACCTTCTCCTTCTTTTATTCTTCTTGAGGGCAAACTCTAGAGCCTCTTTTTGCTGTAACCTAGTAGTGGGTGACTTATGAGGTGGCTCTGAAGTTACCACTGGCTTAGTCCTAGCCTTGATGAAACTAGAATAAACCAATCATTTGCGTCTTCTTCACTATCAGGATTTGTCTCAGGCACCACCATATTCAAGGGCTCAGCAACAAAGTGGGGAGAGGGAGCAGGATCAACATTAACCTGGTCAGATGACTCCTGACCTGGATTCTCCATGTAGGGATCAGGTTCATTATTTGGAGCCCTAGTAGTATCATCTTGTGCCGGTTGTTAAAAAGGCACAATTGCTCCCTCTTCTTCTGTTCCTTCCCCTGTGGCTCAGACCCTCTTGCACACTTTTGTATAATGACCCATTCTGATGCAATGGACAAATTATTCTCTATTTCTTCCTTTTCTTGTGGTTCCATGGTGAGTGATGCCTCCAGACTCATCACTTGTCCAGGAGATCTCAGACTCTTAATTATTAGTCATCGGTTCTTCACTCAAGTGATCAGCCATGGATAGAGTGGACGCTTCCTGAACGAGGTTCCCTTGTTCACCCTGATGACCTTATTTGTCTAGTGAGACTGGAGGAGGACAGACATCTTCAGACTTTCTTGGAGGAGGAGTGGACTCGGAGAGGGTAGGAATGGGAGTAGAGTGTGGAGGAGAATCTTTTTTAGGGTTTGGAGAGAGGTTTACCTCTGAATTTCTCACCGGTGAGGACTCAATTAGAGTGTTATCAGGCATACTAATGGTTGCTTGATTTTCAGACATGATGATATTATTCTCGAGGGACTGTGGATGTGAGAAGAGAGAAGACAAACATGGATTTTTGTGTTTGGAAGAGAAAGGGCTGTGATGTTAGTTTAATTATGATGAGGGACCCGTTCTGAAACGGTGGCACCCTTTTTGCTTTGGAGATGTATCGATTAGAGAAAGGAGTGACGTTTGAGCTATGACGTATTGGATGAAAAGACACGACTTTAAAGAGACTGTCACGTTGATGATTATGATGTGGCATTGTTTTTTGTTCATTTTAAATTGTGTATGAAAGAACAAAGAAACCACTAACCTGTGTTAGAGAACTAGGTTCCCTGATAGGTCTGGTAAGTGAGTTTTATCCCCTTATTCATCATGAACTGCAACATCTGCTTCTGTAGTCATCATGCGTGTCTACCTGTAACGGTATAGAGGTAAGTTAGACTTAGCCAGAAAACACTTTAGCTAGCTTTTACCTGACTATGACTTTCATAACCAATAATGAGGAACCAGGTTCTCAGTTGTGTTTCATCATCCCCCAGTGCAAGGCGATCTTTCTCAGAATGCTTTCTTCCCAGGGCTTTTGATGAAGATGTCTGCAACATGTTCTTCAGCAATCACTGTATTTTGGCCCTCTTGAGTTGGACTCAAGTTCTTCCAATTTTTTGCTTGGTCCATAGAACTTTGTTGCTTAGTCCATAGTACTTGACCACAACAGGATGATGACTATACATATTTTTCTTCAGCTATCGAGAGTGCCCTTGAATTTTGCTTCCTTGAGCCTTATGAGACAAGATAGGAACTCAGAGACTTTCTCTCCCTGTCCCAATTCAGGAGAGCTTTTCCTATCTATTTACTTGGAGGACAGTAGAGAACTAGGTTCTGTGTTCTACTAGGATACCTCAACATACTTACACCATCCTTCAGATGAGAATACCTTGGATTTGACAGAGACCCTACACAGAACTCAACTCTAACCCTGATGTCCAGTCTACTTGCAGTGAGATACAGGAGTTATTCAGTGATGTCTCTATGAAAAAGCCTTCTTTCCAACAGCTTGTTTTTCAGCTTCTGTTGTTGTAGATGAGGGACCTGGTTCCTAGCTAGAATTAATGGGTGTTCTCTACCTTGATCAATATTTCTGTTCTCTTTTGAGATGAGTATGTCAGAAGGATTCCTCCATCTTTTCTACCATCATATTTTCAAGGCTGACCCTTCCCATTGTTGAGAACATGACAGTTATACCCAGATATCCTCACTTGAGTCAGCAGCTTTGGTCAAGATGTTTGCTAACCCTTCATCAATTAATATTGACCATGCCCAAATTTTCAAGAGTCCTTCTTCTCTTCAACAACTCTATCTGAGGTGGTGTTCTTTGAGCTAAGTGGTTGAGTAGTTCTTCTTTTAACATAGCATTCATCCACTTATGGCGTTGTCCAAACTTGTTCCATGATTTAGTATGATGCAAGACACGTTTATTTCTATTGGTACCTGGATCTTTCTTGACAAAAATCGTAGTTTCTTAAAAGATCTCATCCTTAGTTCTAAAGTGCTGTCTACCCATTTTTTGGCTTGAATGAAGATCTGACATGTTTTTCTTTTGCACAGACAGAGCACACTTCATGATACTTGTTCCTTAACTTGATCAGACCATGAACTAGATTCTTCATATCCAGTTTGTTTAGAGATAGACAACGTGCATGCTCCAGACTTTTATCCCATGATTCAGTATTGTTTTCAACAGATTCCAACCAACTTATGTCTCCACTCTGCAGAGGCTTAATCACAGCAACAATGTACACTTGTGTCTTTTGGCTACAACAACACCTCACCAGTCCCAGGCTTTGAGATTATGAATATCCTGGAGCATTCCACCTTATTTCCTTTGGCACAAATTTTCCAACTCCTAGAGCGTACCCCTTTTTAACAATTTTTAAAAAGAGTACACTCTCTCCTTGCAGGGCTTTTTAGTGAAGGAAGATTAATTGAATTTCCAGTCCTGTCCTTTGAGCAGCTACTGTTCATGTGTCATTATTGGATGCTTTCCTTTATTGCTCCCAACACAAGGAAATCATGGGTTAGATTTAGGAACCCAAACAAGTTTGGGTCCCTTGTTAAGAGAAAAAGGATGAATGAGTGCTCTCTTAGTCCAAGCAGGCAAAATGCGTTTCCTATTCGATGGTTTTCTATTTGACGGCCCAGGTCCTCTTGCAGTAGTTGCTCTCTCAACAAAGACTTTATTTCTCTAATGAGACTGAACCCTGGTCATGCAATTTTCCTTAAGGTTCCCATTGTTGCCACAGTGGGTACATTGCGATTTGTCGGGTACAGTAACATACTTGCTATGAGGGTTGTAGGGAATCTTTTCCCTTTGAAACCCAATCCCCTACCTGTTTCCCCCAGAGCTGGTGTACATGGTAGTGATAGCATCTGAGGACCAGGTCCACTTAAGAGATTTCTTAAGATCACTCTTTACTTTCCCTAGCTCTTCCTGAAGCAGTTTGTTTTTCTCAAGTTCAGCACACAGACTAGTTTTTACCAAGTTTAACTCATTTTTAAGCTTAATGTGTGCTTCACTTTCAACTTCCTTTCCCTTTTCAGAGTTTCCAGGCCTATTTGCAGTTTTAACATCCTCAATTTTTTATTTAAAATCTACTACCACCACTACTAGGTCATCTCTTTCTTGCTCAATGATAGTAACTCTCTCAGTCAAGGTTTCCTTTTCTTTACTTGCACACTCAATGGTTTCTTTTAAGTATACCACAACCACCATTAAATAATCTCATTCATCTTCTATATTAGCAATTTTCTCTTCTAAGGCAATCTTTTCTCTTTTCATGTTCTCTATTGTTTCTGTCAAATCAACTACAACGACTAATAAGTCATCTCTGGTTTGTTTAGCTTCCCCTAGTTCATAGTTAAAGCATCTTTATCATTGATAAGAATATGGTAAGCATCAATTAGAAAATTTTATAATGACATAAGCTTTTTAGGAGAGTAAGATTTCAGATTTCTCTGAACATCCAGAAAGTTTACCTCATCGTCATCGTCATCTTTATCGTCATCAGATTGAGCCATTAGAGCAAAGATTGAATCACACTCAGTTGTTTCATTTTCTACAGCCATCATTGAACTGCCACCATGGTCGTCTTTTTCTTCAGATTCGCTGGAGGAGTCTCCTCATGCAGCAAGAGCTTGCTTTACAACGTTGTCAGCATCATTCTTTCGCTTGAAACATTTGTCAGAACCTGGTTCCTCTTTGCTGCTTTGTCAAAGTTGTTATTATACTGATCTTGCTTTAGGAGGGGGTCAATCCTTGATCAAGTGTCTTGGCTTGCCACATTTATGACATAGGTCATAATTTATGGGCTTGCTAGAGCTACCTCTTTTTGGAATGCCTCAATTCCTGTGAACCATCTTCTGGAACCTTTTTGTCAAGTAAGCCATGTCCCCGTCTTCGCCACTTGAGTCATTGTTGTCCATCTTGAGGACTAGGTTCTTCTCTTTCTTGGGCTCTCTTCTTTCATTGTCCTTCTTCTTCATTTCATAGGTTTCAAGTTTCCAACAAGTTCATCCATGGTCAGTGTCTGAATGTCCTTAGACTCTGTAATGGCGTTAACTTTGCTTTCCCAAGAACTGGGCAGTACACTAAGGATTTTTCTGGAAAGCTTGTTTCTTGGAATACTTTCACCAAGAGAGTGAAGCTCATTGATGATGGAGGTGAATCGAGTATGCATATCTTGGATGGATTCATCATCCTTCATTTTGAAGAGCTCATATTCTGTTGTGAGCATATCAATCTTGGATTTCTTCACCTGAGTTGTTCCCTCATGAGCTATCTGAAGAGCCTCCCAGATCTCTTTTGCTGACTGACAAGCTGATACATGTTATATTCATCAGGACCAATACCACACACAAGAATTTTCTTTGCTCAAAAATTCTTTTCAATGGCCTTTCTATTAGCGTCATTGAATTCTTTCCTTGTCTTGGGAATGGCTACAGGTGGATCACCAAGGTTCTTTGTAGGGACAAAAGGTCCATCACATCTTACATCCTATAACTCAGAGTCTTCAGCCATGATTAAGTCATGCATCCTAGTTTCCACCACCCATTGTATTGACCATTGAACCTAGGAGTTCTGTACGTGGACTGGCCTTCTTCGAAGTTTGGAGGAGCAGCCATGAGGATCCTTTCTAGGTGTTAACCTGATAGAAAGAACCTGCTCTGATACCAATTAATAGAATATATGGGTCCACCAACTTCTATAGAGAATCAGGATCTCTATCAGGTCCGACAATTACACACACACACAGAGAACAGAAGTTAAATGACTGGGGGAATTTTACATGGAAAATTCCTAGCACAACGGGATTAAATACCACGACCTACCCTTGTATGTTTTCAACTTCACTACTGAGCAACTTTCAGATTACAACCTATGCAACTTAGGAATTAAATTCTTAATCCCTCACTAA